CTCTCTGTCTCTCTCTCTCTGTCTCTCTCTCTCTCTCTCTCTCTCTCTCTCTCTCTCTCTCTCACACACACACACACACACACACACAAAAACTCTAACAAAAACAAAAAGTAAAATGCAACCTTAAGAGCGGCAGCTCAAATGATAAATTCTGACGTTTCTGGTCTTGTGCTGAAGCTTCTTCAGAAGCCGGAAATGTTTGGGTTTTTTAAAGTTTTAGTACAGGTTTTACGGCGCTCGGAACTGCTTAAGGTCATATGAGCGCCAGAAGATTAGAGGTGTTACAAGAGAGTAACAAACATAAAAAAAAGAAGAAGGGGAGATTAAGACGATAGATGTTTGATAGGAAAGAAGAAGCAAACCACACCAGAGCACCCGCCAACCACCCAGCGGGAATGTTTCTGTGTGCTGTAGGTTGTTGTAAAGGGCTTAGAGCATGTTTTAGAGCATGGACATGTGATATGTTAATGCATTTATCATCATCCTCATTAGCATTAATAACGTATGCATGTTCGTTATTATTTTTCGGCTGTCGGATTTTTAACTCTGTTAAATAATAACATAGCCTTTCCGACAGAACGAGGATGTTTTCGAAAATCTGGTCAACAACTATAGTTGTGTTAAATTTATGGCTGGCCGTATCCTAAATCATAGGCAAAAGGCATTCGTGGATGGCTAGTTCCTGGCGTTAAATGAGGAATTGAATAGATATAGACTCGGCCTGCTTCGGTGAAGCGTGGCTAGATGTTAAAAAGACACTCTCCGTGATATGTCTCAGTTATGATAATTTTAAATCCAATCTTTTTGTATTCACTTAAACATTGAACATTAAACCGTCAAAACATCTCCAATCTCAGTTTCTGTCTGTCTGCTTTTTTTTTGTTTGTCTGTCTGTCCGTCCGTCCGTCTCGGAGATTGTCTTTTTACCTGTCTGCTTGTTTTTTGCCTATGTATCTGTCTGATTTTTTTGTCATTCTGTCTGTCTTCATGCTTGATTTTCCTTTTGTCTGTGTGTGTGTTTTTTATGTGTATATATTTGTGTCTGTCTGTCTTCTGTCTGTCTGTCTGTCTGTCTGTCTGTCTGTCTGTCTGTCTGTCTGTCTGTCT